GAGAGTGACTTGCTCAAGGTCATACAGTTACAGAATCTGAGTCTCCTCTTTCCTAGTCCAGCGCTCTTTCTACGGGCTGATGATCTTTTCTCAGTCCTGTGCAATGGGGATCCCCCAAACTGCCTTCCAAGCCGGTAGCCAATGCCTGGGAGGTTAAGTCCCACCCAGGGTGTCAGCCTTACCTTGTTGTCATCTGTGAGCGGCGGCCCCTTCGCTGCACCTGCCGGTGCTTTATCATTATGTTCCAAGGGTTCTGTGGGGACCAAGGGAGCAGATGTCACCGAGGTCTGTGACACTGGGGTGGAGGTGGGGGGTGGGTATGAAGTTAAACCTAGACAGCCCTACTTCTCAGGTGCTTTCACCACCTCTCTCACCTTGGGGTCTGGGGGAGGGGAGAGGCTGGGGGGCCCTGCTGGGGAAGAGAAACTCAGGGGAAGTTTCCAGTCTCAAAAATCCAGACTCCAGCTTTTCAGGAACAGCTGGAAGAAGAGAACCAGTGTTTACCGAGGGCCTACTCTGTGACAGATGATGCGCTGGGCGCTTTACCTGTGCTTATAACCCATCCCCACAACAACCTTAAGAGGCAGATACTAATCTCCGTTTTACAGAAGAAGAACTGGGGCTCAGGGGCTTGATGGCCCACGTCACCTAACTAGGAGGGCGGCACCTAGAATTTGAATCCAGGTCTTCGGACGGTGAAAACGCCAACCCTCTCGGCAGTGCCAGCTGCCGCGTTCTCTCGCCCGTGGGGCAGGGTCCCAGGAGCCCGAGGCCCTGCCAGCCCGAGCCCAGGCCTGGCCCGGCCTCTTCGGGGGCGTCCTCACCGTGAGAACCAGCTGACTCGCTGCGCCCGCGTCTCCCTGCTCGGGGTCGCCCCGCTCTGCCCCTCCGGGTCCCCGCGGCTGCTCGGCGTCGCCAGTGGCCCCCATGGCGTCTCTGACTCTTACAACTTCAGTCCGACTCTACCACCGGCCGGAAAGTGGCTGTGTGACGTCACTGGAGCGCGCGTCGGCCGCGAGCCCGGAAGCACGAAGAAGCGAGCTGCGCAGTTACCATGGGAACCAAACCGCCGCGGCGAGCTGCGCAGTTACCATGGGAACCAAACCGCCGCGTCTCGCCAAAGACCCCGACGCTTCGATGTGTGTGTGTGTGTGTGTGTGTGTGTGTGTGTGTGTGTGTGTGTGTGTGTGTGTGTGTGTGTGTGTCGGGGGCTTCCTTCAGGGGAGGGGCTGTGTCGCGGGTGTGGACTGGGGGTTATTCAGTCAAGGATTGTTCTCGGGCTGGAGAAGTGCGGGGCAGACAGAGGGGAGCAGGTTTCCATGGGCTGGGGTTGGAGAGCGGAGGGGAGCGTTTTGTACAGCGGCGCCTGCAGTTCAGTCTTTGAGGAAAACGGTAGATTGTAATGTGCTCCGTATTCAACCCCTGGAACTGGAATGGGGGGACCCGGAAACGCAACAGCAGGAGGAGGTTTGGCCCATGCCATCCCTAACGTTCACCCACTAGGTCTCTCCAAGCCTGGACCCTAGGGGCTGCCTCTTGCATCTGAAGACATCAGAATGAAGATTGAGACTTGGACCATGGATTTCCCCCAGCCCCAGGGAGCTAGGCTTCTCTCCCCAGACTGGTGATGATCCTGGGGTCGGCCGGGGATGCAGGGGTTCAACAGCTGTGAAGTTTCCTGGAGCTCCCCTTAGCTCTGCTTTAGGTAAGACGTGGCTGAACAGAATATGATCGATTTATGGGTGGTAGAGAAAAGTACTTTTCCTAGGTCACAATATAGGGTAGTAGAAAGTGCATGAGTTTTGCAGTTAGAAAGATCAGAGTTCAAATGCAGTGTGATATGATGATTAAGCACTATGGAATTGGACTGCCAACCTTTGTTCTACCACTTACTAGTTGTGTGACTCACGTTTCTTTTGGTGCCTCAATTTCCCTATCTGTAGAAGGGAGATAATAGTACCTAACTCAATGGATTGTAGTGAGGACTAAGTGAGTTAATTCTTGTAAAGCACTTAGAACTATGTCACAAGTAAACCCTCAAACAGTGCTATCTGTCATTACTATTATTAGATTCTGGCAGCCACCACTTAGCAGCATTATGACCTTGGGCAATTTTGCTCAGACCCTCTGAACCACTTTTCTTACCTCTGCACGATTATTGTGAGGATTAAAATGAATAATGTATACAAAGCACAAATTAGGTCATCAACAAATGTTAATTATCTCCATGTTCCAATATCTATCTTAAAACAGTAAGGCAACTTCTTGGCACAAAACTCTTTGGTGTTATTAAGGAGGTTTTTACCTTGAGCCTTAAATGTTCCCTGCCCTTTAACTTCACTGGGCTAAGCGGTGCCAGTGGACACTATTGGATATCATGGCTGACCAAAGTAATAAGCACTTAAATAAAGAAAAATAAAAAGAAATAGAGCAAGAAGAGATAAAGGAGTAAATGTAAATGGTATAGACTACTAAAGTCATAGCAATTGTTCTTTTGGATCCTGTCAACTAGCCTTCACACAGGCCAAGAGTGGCCTATGTGGACCACAAGGACCAAGATACAGGTTTTTTGTGCATTTGTATTAGTTCTGAACAAAGTCAAGTATGGCTTTTCTGTAGTTTCTAAGTAGTCTGTCCCATTCTCTGTTTTCTAGGTTGCTAGGATGATAGAAGGAGCCACAGGGCATCTTATTAGCTTTGGTTATTTTCTTGTTCAGTCTCTGGTCCTTCCCTCTGTTATTTCAGCTGTAGCCATGTCCTTCCAAGGCCCTTTAGGGCTCTCTCTGATCCTCTACCCAGGGGCCATCTCTCTATTTTCCCAGGGTCCTCATCATTGTCCAGGGTGTTGTGTATATTCCATGACAGAGTTTGATCACCATCATCACATGTGCCCTTTGGTAGTGCCAGGAATCTTCCCACACACCAGCAACCAATCATTTTTCTTATTAGGAGCAGCCATCCTTGGGAACTGTTGCGAAAGGGAAGACTTTGGGGCTGGGTTTAGGCTGGTTTCCCAGTCCTGCCTTCCCTCGGTTGATACTCTGGGCAAGGGGCACAACCCTGGCCTGAACTGAGCTCTCATCTCAACTCTCAGCATCATCAACATGAGCTGCCTCGTCCTCCTGAATGCACTTCTGGCTCTTGGGTCCCTGACGTCCTGGGTGACTGCAGGAGAGCACGGTGAGCTATCATTTGGGATCCCTGCCTAAGAGTAACAGCAAGTGACTAGGGAAGTCATTCCCTGCCTCATCCCAGAGTGAGGGGCTTCATTTGTGGAGATGACCATCTCTGTAGAATGGGACTGAATGCGTAGAGTCTTGGGACAGCCAGGGTAGGTCTTCTTAGCTTTCTTTAACTTCCCTGGACAAGGAGACAGGATTGCCAGTCTGGCTTTCCCCTAGTGTTCCTTAAGTAAGAATAGGATCACCCCAACCTTTCTCTCTCTATCTGCAGAAAGGCTGGTCCTTTAGTAGGTGTGTGTGTGTGTGTGTGTGTGTGTGTTTTGGCATAAAATAACAGAAATTTATTATCTCATAGTTTTGGAGATTAGAAGTCCATAGTTAAGATGTTGGCAGGGCCATGCTCCCACTGGGGAGGGGAAGGTTCTTCTTGCTTAGTTCTTCAAGCTTAGTTCCTTGGTTTATGGCGGCAAAACTCCAGTCTCTGCCTGCCTCCATTCTCCATGGCTGTCTTCCCAATATGTCTGTATGTCTTGTCTGTTTGCATGTCGTTATCTTCCCTACCTACCCTCGAGGGGGAAGTGTTTAGATAGGAGTCTTTGGAGAGGCTGAAAGTCCTTTAGGTACATTTGGCTTCCATTCCCCATTTCTTGAGGCCTGGCCTGTTACCCCAACCTCGTGTGATATCTTTTGCAGTGAAAGAAGGAGAATGCCCTCCTGATAAGAACCCATGAAAGATGTGTGTGCCAGGGGGATGAATCTTGTCCGGCTGGGCAGAAGTGCCTCCTAAGGGGGGGCCTTCTCAGGAGCACAGTTTCTCACTGGCCCATTTTATCAAGAACCAGGATCATTTTCTCCTCCCCTAATCAACTCTCTGAGACCCTGAAACTCCACAACCTGTGACAACCTCTTGCCGTCCACCCAGACCTCCCCAGGTAGCAGGTCCTTTCCTGTGTCCAGTGGAGCTGTCTGTGCCTGGCTTAGGCAGCTCTCTTGGGCAGCCTGCCCATGAAAGAGAATAGAGGGTTGTACTCCTTGCCAGGACTCTTGAGGCCCAGCTCTGGAACCAGAGCCTGGGAATCTGTCCCAGGCAGGTCACTCACTGCCAGCTTGTAGGGCCTGGGACAATCTGCCCAGTGTTTGAAGATGATGACTGAATTGTGGGAGCTGAGGACGAGGCTGGTACCCTCGCAAGGCACCTTTGTGAGCTGCTCTGGGCCCTGGCCAGCCCAGATGGGGCTTCCTCTGTCCTTGGAGCTAGGCAGGCTAGAACAGCGATCTCCCTGCAGACCCCAGAGCCCGCTGGCTGAGAAGGGGGTTCCTATCTGGTGGGCGGTGGTATTGGCTGATATGTTAGTAGTTAACTCCTTCTCTACAGCTCTGGTCCTAGAGGATGGCTGGGCACTCACTTAATGGGACTGGTTGCTACACCCAACTCCACAGGAAGCTCTCTTTCCTGGGCTTTCCCTAAGCTCTGACATTGTCAGAGGTTTACCATTGGTAGGGTGGAGGGACGGTCAGGTGGCCTGAGGGCATAGGGAAGATGCTAGGACCTGCTCCCAGGAGGCAGCTCTGGTCTGAGCATGGGTCCGAATCCCGGCTCCCCGCTTGCTTGCTGTGTGGCCTTGGGCAAGTCCTTTCATCTCTCCCAACCTCACCTTTGTCATCTGTAAAATGGAGCTAAGGATATTTACCTCATAGAGTGATAATGCAGCGTCTTAGTTTGGGCTGCTATAACAGACACCATAGACTGGGTGTCCTATAAACAGTAGAAATTTATTGCTTACATTTCTAGAAGCTGGAAAGTCCAAGGTCAAGGTCAAGGTGCGGGCAGATTCAGTGTCTGCTTCCTGGTTCATAGACGCCTGTCTTTTTGCTGTGGCCTCACATGGCAGAAGGGCAGTGAGGGCACTAATATTCATGAGGGCTCCACTCTCATGACCTAATCACCTCCCAAAGGCCCCACTTTCAAATACCCTCAATTGGGGATTAGATTTCAACATAAGAATTTGGGGGGGACACAAACATTCTGTCTATATCGCTCAGTTTAGAAGAAATGCATGTACAAAGCCTATGCAAAAGCTGCCAAATAATGTTCAGATAGTCATGCCCAGAACCTCTCTGCTCAGGTTCCCTCCCCACCTGTCTGAAGTCTGACCTGTCTGTTCACTCACTTATTCATTTATTCAATACGTATCGAGTGTCTCCCCGACCTTGCACATGGGTGTCTCATGGTAAGCAAGGCAGCCATGGTACTTGTTCTCATGGTGTGAGAGACAGGAAATAATCATGAACAAATAACCAAGACCACAAGGAAATGGAAAGAGAGGCGCAGAGGAAGTGTCATTTTCGCTTGGAGGACAAGGAGCTGGCCATGGGGCGGGGATGCTATGAAGGGGAAGCTGTGTGGGCAAAGGCTTTGAGGCGGGAGGAGCCTACTGTTTCTAAGGACGTGAAAGGAGGTCAGTGCGTTTGGATAAAAGGGAAGGAAAAGGAAGGTGCTTCCAGCTGAGGCAGAGGCCAGACTTTGGGGAGGCCTCCGGGGCTCTCTCTAGGACTTCATTATAAGTGCAGTGGGAAGCCTTAGGAGGGGGTGTGAAAAGCAGGAGAGGCCTGGTTCAGTCTTCACTTTAAAAAGACCATGGGGCAGGTGGAGAAGATGGCAGGCCCATTAAGGGGCCATTGCGACAGGCTGGGCAAGAGGTGATCATGCTTAGACCAGCCAGGGTGGTGGTAGCACGGACATAGAAGAGTGACAGACTTGAAGCACTTTTGAAAGTACAGCTGACAGGTCTGGGTGAAGAAGTGGGTGGATGTGGGCGTTGAGGAAGGGAAAGTGTCCAGAACGGTGCTTAGGTGTCTGAGCGGCGCAGCTGGGTGATGGTGGTGCTCCTTACTGAGAAGGGGACAATGTGGGGAGGAAGAGGTCTCGGCACAAAGGTTCAGATTATGGCGGAAGAGATATCTCCTTTGGTTCCCTTGTGGCCCTCCTCCCACTGCTGAAACATAACCACCCCGGGCCCCCCGTGACCCTCTGTTTTGCTTGTTACAGCGTGTGCATTTTATCCTTTGTATGGATTGATGGCGTGGGCTCCCTGTGCGTGTGGATGACTTTTTCCTGACACCTCATGGTTGGGAGTTTGGCTTTTGAGAGTGTTCCTGCCACCCTAACTGATAAGAGTGGTGCACGCTAGGCAGGGAGTGACCCAGCCCCAAATAAAAACCTGGAGTCTAACGACCTTCCCCGGTAGATGACACATCACACGTGTTGTCGTGTGTCCTGTGTGACTCCACAGGGAGAGGACTCGAGGGAGCTGCTGCCTGGTTTCCTCTGGATTTCACCTCATGTACCTTTTTCCTTTGATGATTTTGCTTTATATCCTTTGCTGTAATAAGTCAGAGCCATGAGTGTAACTATATGCCGAGTCTTGTGAGTCCTAAAGAATCACAGAACCAAGGATGGTCTTGTGGGATCCTGACACACTGGTTTGTTTATGTTTTCCTGATCCCTAATACTGTCCACCACCGGGTTTTCTTTTTTAGAAGAATTGAGCTGAGGGAGTCCCAGTGCTTGTTGATTTGTTTTGGGGTGACCCTTGCAGAGTGTAGCAGATCATAGTGATGTGGTTTAAAGGGCACTCCTAGAGCTGGGGGTGTTGGACCCAATTCTGCCACCATTGACCTCGAGCCAGTCCCCCTTCCTTCCTGGATGTCTGCCTATCTATTTGCAAGAGGAAAGGAGTGGATTTGGTATCGGAGGGCCCTTCCTGGCTTAAGAAGTTTTGGCATTTCGCTTTTCTGCCAGCAGCTGCCCACATTCCCCAGGACCAGGCACCGAGACCAAACCTCTGCCCTCTTCCAGTATCAGAGTGCTCCCGGCCTGGTCACTTCAGGGCCAAGCTCAACAAAGTGGTGAGATTTGGGACGCGTTCTACTCTATGCATCCACTTTCTAGGGCACGTGGTAGAGCTCCGTGAGAAGTTTATGTTGCTGGGCTTTCTCCACCAGGGAGAGTTTTTTATGCCCAGACTTCTCAACTGTGGGATAAAAGGCTCTGTTCTTTGTTAAATGGATTTGAATGTTGGTCAAGCAGGCAGGGAAGTGTGAGGATTTATATCTGGTGGTCATAGTGACCATACTCGTGTTTTCTGAATAAAAAATCAGGACACATAGTTTTGATGTGATCTGACAATGGCATAGAATATTGGACATCGGGGCTGTTCAGGAAACTCCTAGGACGCAGGGTTATTGTACCTTGATTGTTTAGTTGTGCTTGTTCTCCTTGGAGGCCAACACTTGCTTTTTCCATCATGGCAGACTTCCTGGAGCCAGCCATATGCAATCATACTTACATGTTTCTACTCAGAGAGGCACTGGGCCAGTCCTGCTTTGGTTTCCTACAAAGCCTTTCCTTGCCTGTCACTTTCTTTCCATTTAAAAAAACTTGAAATAAACACTGAGAATAATGAGTCATGGCGGGTTGGTTTGGTTTGGATGCGGCTCCTTTGGGTGTGCCTGTTCCTAGGGACTTGGCCCTGCGCCTGCATGTTTTCAGGATGGTGTAGCAGAAAGTGCTTCACTGCAAACCAAGAGGCTGAGTTTTGTCCTGCTTCGTCGCTGACTCACACTCTGTAGTTCTGGGCAAGCCCCTTGAGTTTCCTTATCATCGTAGGGGTGGTGAAGGGGCACATCAGAAAATTAACCCAATGGGGTCGTGTTGCTCATGTAACAAGAAGTCTTGAAGTAAGCGCCAGGGCTGGGGTGGCGGCTCCGTAATGCAAACAAGGACGAGGCTATTTCTCTCTTTTTCCTTTGCAATCCTTGACTTTGTCCTTATACCTGTTGCCTCCTGGTTGAAAGAAGGCTGCTCTGCCTCCCTGGGTTACGTCCGTCTTTGCACTGGAAGTAGAGAGAAGTGAAGGTCTGTTTGGAAGTTCCATTCCGTGTATCAGGAGTGCAGACATTTTCCTAGCGTATGTCTTAGCTTGTGGTCACCCCCTAGTTACTAGGGAATATGGGGAAGCAAATCATTTTAGCTGACTGGGCTCATTGCCTCTCAGAACAAACCTGGGGTTCTGTTAACTGGTATTTCAGTTGTCTACTGCTGCATGCCAACCATCTCCATTTTAATGGCTTAAAATAACAATAGTGTATCCTCCTCCGACTTGTATGGGCTGGCTTAGTGGGAAATCCATGCAATGGGGAGGCTTAGTGGGCAGTTCTTATACCCACGTGGCACAGCTGAGGTCACTCACGCAGCTGCATACACTGGGAGCTCGGCGGGGAGCTCGCCTGTGGCTGGAACATGCAGGATGCCTCTCTCCACCCAGGTCCTCTCTCGTGGGGCCTCTCCTCATTCTGTAGTTTAGCCAAGCTGCTACACAGCATGGCGGCTGGTTTCCAAGAGGGAGTGTTCTAAGAGGATGAGCCCCAATAGGCAAGTGCTTATCAAGCCTCTGCTTATGTCACTCACACTAGCTGATGTCCTGTTGGTCAAAGCAAGTCACATGGTCAAGCCCAGAGACAGTGTGGGCGGGGCCCACACAAGGGCATGAACCCTGGGAGGTGGGGTTCATTGGGGGCCACCAATGTAGGTGCCTGACACAATAAGAAAGGAGGGAGAATGAATATGGCGTTGGCAGCTAGTATGTTTGCCACAGTGGGTTGGACCTCAACAGTGTTTTTCAAACTTCAAGTCTTGAAATGAGTTTAGTAGTGTATGGCCTGCATTAAAAAAAAAAAAAAGAAATTGAGAGAATACAAAATATCAACATTGCATATACATGTATGCACATAAATACATACACAAGGGATACAAAGAAAAATGTATTTTGGACTCAAGAGTCACACTAAAAATAGCTGGAAACACTGGGCACTGGGCCCCAATGCTCTGATTCTATGGCAGAGTTTGGTGTTGAATGTCCTCCTGACCCTCTGCCGTGTGAGGAGCTGTGTGATGGGGACACATCCTGTCCTCTGGATCACAAATGCTGCAGCACCGGCTGTGGCCACGTCTGCCGTGGAGACATTACTGGAGGTATGTTGGCTCTTTAGGGAGGAAATCCTTCAGTTCCGGAGTCGGTTTGGGAGGGGGCCATCTGTGGTCTTCATGTCAGAGTTCTCATCCTTCCTGTCTTCCTGGTCCCCCAACCCAAAGCACCCCCTCCTCCTAGAGCTAAGGGCATTAAGGAACTAGGGGAAGGCAGTGTGGGGCAGTAGGAATCATTTCTAGGCTGGAAGACAGGCAGCGTGGCTTCCGGTCTTGGCTCTGCTGCTGATGTGCTCTGTGACCTTGGGTAAGTAAACCCCTGTTGTTGAGCCAGTTTCTTCATCTGTAAAATGAAGGAGTTGCCCAAGATCGTGATTTTCTGACCTGATTCTTAGCCAAATCTTCCCCGCCTCCAAAATGAAATCTTAGTTGGAAGCAACATATATGCAACAGATAAAAACATTCCTGATCTGATTCTTTTGGTTTTTTTAATGTATTTTTTCCAACAACTCCATATATATATATATATATATATATATATATATATATATATATATATATATATATATATATATATATATATAATATATATATTACCTTTTAAAATTATTTATTTTCAGTTACAGTTGACATTCAATATTATTTTATGTTAGTTTCAGGTGTACAGCATAGTGGTTAGACATCGGTATAATTTATGCAGTGATCCCCCCAATTAGCCTAGCACCTACCTGCCACTATACATAGTTGTTGCAATATCAAGTATTTATTTTTGAGTGCTCCTTTTGTGCCAGGCACTGTGGAGCGCCATTTCAGAACCACTGGCCTAGATGTCTATAGACAACATTTAGGTTCCCAGGGAGCGGTCAAGGCTCTGGGGACAGATTCTCATCCTTATGTAGCATATAGTGTATCAAGGAAGGTAGACAACTAAATAAGGACTTATAATAAAGTATGGTGAAAGGAGCACAATGCAGGGCTCCAAGCCTTGTCTAGGGTGGCAGAGAAGCCTCCCTGAGGAAGTGACACTAGGAAGCCTAAACCTAGGGGCAAGGGCGGCGGTCTGAGAGCCTTGCTTTTTCTGCACTCCACCCAGCCCACCCCTCAAGCCCACAGAGATGTCAAACCCCTAGGTACCTCCAGGGAACTCCCTGTGGGACACCATTTGGAAACGGTTGGTCTAGACGCTCTCTTGTAGGTGCTCCCTGCAGCTTCTCAGATCCTCTAGCTTCAAGGTTTCCTGAGCCAGGGCTTTGGTGAAAACCTAGTGCGAGTCAGGGATGGATTTGCCTGGAGTCCCACGTCTGAGTTCCAGATGGGAACTTGGAGTCGGTCGCACTGACTGTCCTGTGCCTTTTATCCTGCAGGGCGGAGCGGTGAGTGTCCACACATTTTGGTGGGCCTGTGCATCATCAGCTGCATATCGGATGAGGACTGTGGAGCCGGGGGCAAGTGCTGTAAGTCAGGCTGTGGCCGCTTCTGTGTCCCGCCTGCTCTGCCATCCCAACTGGTCATGAACCCCAACTGTACCATTGGGTCTGATTCTGAATTAGGTGAGTACCATCTAGTGTCATCAGTAACAATAGAGCTAACTGCAGTGTGCAAAGCATGGGCTCAGGTGCTGGGTAGGGGACTTCAGGAGGTCAGGAGAAAGTTTTTGCCCTGGGGAGCCTAGTTGGAGAGAAAGATGAGCTGTCACAGATCATATATCACAGAACTTGCGTAGCCGGTTTGGGTTTATAGGCGTTCAGTGTGGGTGTGATTCCTTAGGAAGGTCTTTCTGCTAGAGGCAGGATTTCATCTGGGCCCTAGAGGCTAGATAGGATGTGACAAAGGGAGGACAGCCCAAAGGACATGCTGGACAGGCAGGCTGGGGATTGTTGGCAAAGGAACAGAGGGCGGAATGTATGGGGCTGGTTTGGGGAGGTGGGAGGGAGTGGAGAGAGAGCAGGTGAAGGGACAGGCAGGCTGTTTTTATAACAGGAGATATAAGGTGGACTTTTGCTTGGTAAGAGTCTTCAATGCCAGCTTGGACTGGATTGTCTAGGAAGCAGGGAGCCATTTAAAGCTTCTGAAAGCAATAGATGCCAAGCTTCTGTAGGGGGAGGGGAAACATGTTCTATAGGAGGGGAACCACAGGGGGAGGGGGAGGGGAACCACAGCGGGGAGGGGAACCACAGGGGGAGGGGAAACACGTTGGGGAGCAGCAGCCAGGAGGCAAAATTGTGACTTGATGCTTCTTCTTCTTGCAGAGACCCCAGTGCCCCAGCTGTCCTGATTTGTCCAGGGCTTCTTTGGTGACTCCAAGTGGCTAGTCGGGGCAGCCAGGAGAGGATGGTGTCCTGGGGCTCGTGACGCCCCCAGGGGCTCTCATGGCCCTCTCTGCTCTGCCTCTGTTCCTGCTGCCGCCCCGAGCATAGGAAACAGCCCTGGGGTTGGGCAGTGGGTGTGTGTGGTGCGCCTTGTCCCCAATAAAGGCTGGTGCTGATCCGGTTGCCTGTGCCGTTTGAGGGCTGAGGAAAGAGAGCTAGGGGGTCTGAGCATGGCTGCGGGATTATGGGACTTATTAGGAAGGACAGGTGACCATCCTCTCTGGGAACATGGAGTTGGGTGTGGCTAGGGGAGAGATGGGTGGAAGCCAAACCTGGGGGACCTGCCGTAGGTGTCTCTGTCAAGCCCCGGGAGCGGCATAGTCAGGCCTCTTTTTGGGCCTGCTGAGCTTTCTTATATCAGAGAATGTGGGTTGGGGATGGAACTGGATGAGTGGCTAGTTTATCACAGTCCCTTGGATGTTGCTCCCTTGGACCGCCTTCCTTGGGGGCCAGCCCTCGGCTCTAAGACAGGCAGTTTGTCCCCTTCTAGGAGCTTCACTGTAGGGAAGGGATATCTTTAGGTTCTTGGGACCAAGATAATTTTTTAAAATTATATTTTTTATGTATACAAAATGGATCATATTCTATGTCTTGGAGATGCTTTCTGTCATCACATACATTCTTTTACTAGAACTCCATGACAATCGCTTGTTGGACATTAATATCCTTATATGACATATAAAGCTTGGCCTACTTTTGCAGGTAAATCTGAGTAAATTCTTGGTAGAATTCTACTTTCTTAAATAGAGCCTGGTGAAAAATAGGCACTCAATAAATATTTGCTGAATGAATGAAAGTAATAGAAACTCGAACTCACAGTGGCTTAGCCAATAAAGACATTTAATTTTCTCACAGTGAAACTTGGAGAGAAGCAGTAAGGCTGGTTAAGCAGCTCAGCCCCAGCTCTGAGGACCAGACTCGTTCCTTCCTTCTCCACCATCTTCAGCGTGTTGGCTTTTGCCCTTGTGTGGGTTACCTCACGGGTGCAGGATGGTTGCTGCAGCTCTAGACGTCACAGCAGAAGACGGTGTATGGAGGGTAGTGGTGAAAAGACTGCCTTAAATGGTGGCTCGAAAAATGATCTCAAACAGCGCTCTCCTTTTAATGACAGAAGCCATTTCCCCCAGAAGCCACCTCCTCCCCAGACTTCACTTCTCATCTCATTGGCCCGAACTTTGAATAGCCACAAGGGAAAGCTAATGTCTGCGAATGAATGAATGGAGGTGGGAGAACTTGACTGTCTTAGATTAATCATGCTTCATTCCTGAGGCTGAGGGAGGGGCCCACCTGGGTATAAAAATCAAGGCTCTCTTAGCGAGGAAGGCAAGAATGCTTTGGGGATAGGTAGGTAATGAGCCGGGTCAAAGGACTCACGCAATTCAAATTTGGACAGAAATTGCTAAGTAGGCAGGGCTTTTATGACAAGGAAAAGAAAGGTATTGGTGCTCACCTTGGATATGGCAAAAATGCTTTTGTAATTCCCAACTTTAAGGGTAAAGGTGAAGTATAACTAAAAACAGTTTCCCATCACTGATGTGTTTCCGTGCCCCCTTTTCTTACCCAGTTTTCACACTGGCAGGTGAAACTCTGGCTGCGACTGCGTTCAGAACATTCATCTCTTTGAGTAGAGTAGAGACACATGTCAGCATTGTCTGATCTGAAAAAGCGTGGCTGGCCTAAGCCTCACAGTGGCCGTCCTGGGACACCAGGACTCACTTTGCAGGGAACTGGGAAGGACTGGTGTCAGTGTGACAGGCTGCCAAACATTTTGGCAGATCCTCCCATCATTGTTTTGCTTATTTTATTGTTTATTAAAAAAACCAAAATAGTACCTGCACATAGTTAAAAAAAATCAGCACAGAAGAGCCTTCAATGAAAAACAGCAATCTGGGAATCTTAAAATACTGTAGGATAATTTTCTCCTGCGCTGGGGAGCAGGACTGGAGAGGGAAGTGTGAGCCTCAGGCAGCCTCGGGGAGAGAGAGAGAGGAGAGAGGAGAAAGGACAGAGGAGAGGGGAGAGAGAGAGGGAGAGAGAAGAGAGAACGTTAGCCTGAGTGGGAGCTTAAGAGCTGAATTTGAATTTGGGATTGTGTTGGAAGCAGAGGTCAAGGATTGAGATGGGGTGAGGGTGTTCAGTGAGGGCTTAAGAGACCTATTTGGAGTGGTGGGGGGCTCAGATGCTCTTCCCTTCCTCCCTTGGGCTCAGCCATGTTTTGGAGGCGGGTGTGGGAACAGCAATGGGCCAAGAGTTTTGAGTGGAGAAAATTACTTGCTGGGTACTTTTATTCTCAGAGCCACCAGAGGGCAGCAGAGGTCTAAGTCACAGACCATTTTCCGGCAAGAGAAGTGAAAAAACCACACTCTAGCAGCCTCCTTACAGACTGACCATTAAGTTCCTCCCAGCTTTTCCAAGTCGCCTTGAGAAAAAGTTACATAACACGGTCTGTACTCCAGATGCCTACTGAATTGCATTTCATAAATTAGGACCTAACACTATGCCCTCCCTTTTCATACAATGTGGAATGCTTCTGCAGTTTTGGTAACATTTATCTTGGGGACATTATCCATCGTATTGTATCAATGTTTCTTGTACAAAGCCACATAGCAAATTGTTTGTGGAGCTCAAGGTCAGGAAAAAGTCTCCCTCTCAATGGTGTAATGGGCTTTTGTCTTTTAACAATATGTCATAGATAGACATAATTTTTAATTGTTAAAATATTCTGTTTTCTTAAATATTTATTAATATTTTTTTTTATATTTAACAAGGCCCCGAAACTCTGTAGCTCTTGCTGGCCCTGTTTTCCATGAACTTTGCCAAATGGCTTCAAGTTCATTTGAACTTTGTTTCAATCTTTCTTCACTAGGCCAGATTTCCACAATGGAATTGCTGGGCTAAAAGGTGTGCATATTAAAAATTTTAATAATTAAAGCCAAATTGTCTTCCAAAAGATTTTTTAAAAAAATCAATATATACTCCTATAATAGCCTATGAGTATTTTTGTCTCCCTATTTATTTTTTCTATTATCTTTATCTTCCCAGCAGTTAACACAGTACTTGCATGCTAGTAGGTATCAAAAAATGTTTGAATTGGATTGAAATTACATTTTTAAATAAATTTCCATTGTTTTTGAATCTTCCTTTCCTCTAGTATGAGCCCTGAGAAATCTGAACAGCCCAGCCTGTAGTTTACATGCTGTAGTTCTTTTTTTGTTTTTAAAAATAATTAAGGGCCGGCCGAGTGGAGTGGTGGTTAAGAGCTGGCTTGGGACGCCAGAGGGCCCCGGTTCGGATCCCACATATGAGGGCCAGTGACACTGCCCTCCACAGCTAAGATGCTGAACAACAACTCAACCTGGAGCTGGGCTGCCATGAGTCACCGTAGGCTGCAGCCCCTGCTGCAGTGGGTTGCCATGGGCTACTGTATGCAGCCAGCAGCCAGCGTGAGCGGCCAGCAGCCACTGTGAGCGACAGCCCAGAAGCCCGTGACTGATCTGCCTCGCCCGGGAAGAGCTCAATGATGGTGTCAACTTGGACCAGTGAAGCAACGTCCTCCACAACTAGATTGAAGAACAAAAAGGACAGCAATTTTTCTGTTCCCCTTCCCCCAACCTCCCAAAAAAACCTTAAAAAAAAAGATTTTAATCACAGATGCTGTATTTCCTGGGTCATGGACCTGAAAAATATACATGGTGCTTGAGGATAATTCTTCTGGCAATGGCAGATAGAATTGTTAAGTCCAAACAATTAATAAAGAGGCTGGATATCAAATTAGGGTTCCGAAGATTTTATTAAGCTGAGCTCAGCGACCGTCTTCCCAGCTAAAGGAAAAACGGTACCCCAGACTCGAGGGTCTGGTTTTTATAAGGCAGGGCTATATGCAAAGTAAGTTACAGAAGCTAAAAAGAATGTGTAGTTATTTTAGTTAAAACCGCATCCCGGTGTTGTAACAGTGTTGTTATGTCCAAGTATCTTAACAGTACGTTGTGACTGGGTTGATAAAGTTAGTTCGCTTCAAGGCTTTTTGAAATGTTAACATGAAGGAGGGGGGAGGAAGGGGGAACTGCAAGTCCTGAGGAAGGGGGAGGAAGGGGGAATTTCAAGGCCCGAGGAATGTTGTTCTTTAAACTTTTATTCCCCAGCAGAAGCAAAGCAGGTGCACAGAAGCAAAAAAGAGCTGTTAGCTCCTGTGAAATGGTCTAAGCCAGTTGTGACAGAACTACTTCTGCAAAACATTCTTAATATTGCTGTTGCAACCCATTTCTTGTAAAGCTAGGCGTTTTATTGTCTTAACGGGAAGTTCTGCTTAGAGTCTAGCTGGAGTAGCTGAAGTATGATTTTTAAAAGTGAGTCTGTCCGGCTGAGTCTGTCTGGCCTAGGGTCCGGGCCGAGATCCTTACAGAATTAAAGGGGTTTGGAAGTGGTCAGATCATGAATGAATCTGATGAAGAGACCCTGGCAGAATGGGACTGGTATCAGGATGCTGAATGTGGAAATGATATGGAGGGAGTGATCTATCAGACCCGGTGAAGGCCAGACTTAGGAAGGATTGGAGGTGTTTTCCTGATCTGTTTATTCCCCTATAGGAGATGGAAGGGGAGGGTTGGGTGGGGGAAGAGATCAGTCTTGTGATGATAATGGGGTTTCCCCTTCTTTACCTCTTCTCTTTGGTCCTGCTCTGCACCCTCCCCATCCTGCTCTGCACCCACACATGAGGCAAAATGCGTTGAGTGTGTCTTGAATGGCGACCAAACTTGTGCCACATTCCAAGATCTGCTCCACCGAATCCTTTCTCTTTGGGGCTCTTGGAACCAGAAATGAAATCATTTGTATGCTAATTTTCTGTCATATATAATGGAATTTCCCCCTTTTCAGTTGCTATAGTGATCAGTTACGACTCAGGGAAGCGATTAGAGAGTCAGGACCATAATCTTTTCATTTTGATTTTAGTGTGTAGCCTAAGACCTTGTTTTATCTTTTCATCTTTATCCCCCCTTTATCAGTGATCATCCCCTCAAAATATTTCACTTGAATTGAATGTGAAACCCATTTGGTTTCTTGTAGATTTATGTCCTGTGTTACTTTTTTTATGTAGAGTTTTTTTTTTTTTTGGAAG